AGCCTTCCCCAGGAAAGGGGGTGTAGGGCTTGGGGCGATATTTTTGGTGGGAAGACGTCTCCAAGTGTGCTCTTTCCCTGTTCTTTGTTTAACATGCTTGGTGGAGGCAACATAGGGTTCAAGGACAAGGCAAAGTTTGTACCTTGAGGAAGTTTTTAACCTAAATTGGTAAGAATAAGCTTAGGGGGTCTTTCATGCAGGTCCCCACATCTGTACCCTAGAGTTCAGAGTGGGAAAGGAACCTTGACAAGGTGCTAGACTACTTTAAGTAATTAAGGAATGGGATTGCCAAATTATCCAGATATCTGGTTAAGAATAGAGCTTCGAGGGCTGATGTTTGTATCCACATGGAAATGTGTCAGTCCGATGATGAACCCATCCTAAAGGAAATAATGAAAGGAATTTATAGAAGTTTTGAGAGGATAGAGACCTATGGACTCGAACCACTGGAAGATGACTCCCCACGCTGATCAATAGGTTCATATGGTCAAAGCTTTATTGGATGTAAAGATATCTCTATAATAACGGGGGAATAGCCAAAAGAATCCCAATTAAACTCTGCCAACCTCTTAGTTATAAAGACTACATTGACAGGATACAGATAGAGAATGGGACCCTTGTGGAGAAACATGGTTATGACTTGGATGGTTACTCGGTAAGAAGGCAAGAAACCAAGATCTTGGAGGCCAGCCCTTGAAGTTAGTCTGTGATCTGTTAACCTCCTGTGGGGAATCTTTCTTTCTTGGCCATCCTATGAGATTTTTTAGTGGACAATGTTCATGTATGGCAGTTAGACATAACAGACTTTGTAGAAATGGCATTGTGAAGTTCTGTGTTGGCTGTATTTCAGCGATTTAGCTGCCAGCTCTGCAAATTCAGCTTGAGTTCTGGGAGTCTAGCTGAGTTCTTTCTTTTCTGTCATCTGTGACAGCCACCATCTTGGCAGATAACTTGGGACATCCAGAGCTAAAATCATGAGCAGCTACATCTTGAGCTAAGGACCTGTAAGTGGCTTTGTGACAGATTCCTATGCTCTGAAGATCAGCACACAGCGGTACTTATAACACACTCTTCACTGCATTATACATAGTCACTTCCACTACACTTATATAACACTTCAATATATTTTCACAGGTGTGTCTTACTGGAATTTAGTACAATTCTGTTTAGAATACACAAGATGGAAAAACATTCAACTCAGTCTCGCATAACTCTGACTCTACAGGGTTAATTTTGTCACCAAATTAAGCAGATACTCTGAATACACATAAGAAGCAGACCTGTTAAGATGCTTTTTTTTTTTTTTAAACACACAGTCCCTTTTCAGAGTAGAACTGTATTTTATGGAGGCAAGAGACGATGGGATACCTGCTGCTAGATGGTGCTGGGCCTATGGAATCTTCCCCCTCCCTCAGTGAAGATATAATGCCACCTGTCCTGCTAGGCTGGGAACTTTTACTCTGTCAGAGACAGACTCTGCAGAAAGATTGAGTTGGAAGGATGAGAGCTCTGAGCTCAACTGCTGTGGTGGGTCACTGGCTAGTGTAGCAAGTGGGTGAAGGCTGGGAGACAAAGAAGGCAAAGCAGGGAAGAGGGAAAAAAAAAGAGAATAGTTGGCGGCGGTGGGGTGGGGGGGATATCTACAGTGCAAATGCTGGAAGTTTTGATGCTGGAGAAGGAAGACTGGGGATGAAGGCATCAGCTGACTTTTAAAGGGCTAAAGAGAATGCCTAGAGAGAAACTTGCATAATCTTGCCTCTGGACAGCAAGTGGCAGAGCTACTTGGTAGTGATCTGGATTGGCGGCTCCTGGAACATCTGGGTACTGTTTTTTCTCCATCTAGAAAAGCCTGCGATGCAAACTGCTTTCAGAGATAAACCTTTTATTTTAAGTTGAGATGAGAGCATTGATCCCAGTGTTCTGCTTCAGCCTATTTGATTTGCAACACATACCCACAAAGTTAAAACTCAGTGCTGGTTTGGTCACCCAACAAATCACCACTTTAGTTTTACATTTTGTCATTAATGTATTTTGGACTCTGCAATTGTTCTCGTCATTCTAAAAATGAACCTGTTGGAAAATACTGGTTACCCATCTGTTCCTGCAGATTAGTGATGGACTAGTTATAAAAGGTTTAACATGAATAAGCACCCAAAGTTTCCAGTGGTTGACCTTTGAAATAAAGGGAGGTCCTTCTCCCTATATTTCAAAGGTTAGCCTATCTATAATGTGTAGAGGAGAAAAGCTGTGAGATCATGGTGGACTTCAATTTGAGTGTCATATGCTGGAGGTCTCATGCTGCCAGTAGTAAAATATCCTTGGAATTTCTAAATATTATAGATGACAATCTTCAAGTTCAAAAGAGTGTTTCACCCAACACAGGGAAATTCTATACAAGACTTCATTTTGACAGATAAAGAGGAACTGATCATAGACCTAAAAATTAATGGTAACTTAGGTACAAGTGATCATGACTTGATCACATTTATAATGAATAAATTCTCAGCCAGTGAGAAAGACAGATACTTGGTGCTTTAAAAGGAACAATTTCACAAAGTTGAAAATAATTCTGAGCCACATCAGCTGGGAAGAATTTAATCAGAAAAATATGAGTGATAATTGGGAATTGTCTAAGAACTCGTTACTTGATGCCATAAAAGCCACAATGGAGGAAGAAGGCCATATTGGTTACAAACTCATCTGGTTAGAGGGGAAGTGAAGGCATCTATAAAAAATAAAATACATATATATATAACAAATGGAAGAAAGGGGAAGTCGATATTATTGAATATAAATCAGAAGCTAGGAATTGTAGAAAATTGATAAGGGAAACAAAGGGACACAAGGAGAGATTAATGACCAGCAGAGTTAAGGACAATAAGGAGGAGATTTTTCAGGATATTTGGTACTGGTCCATTACAAGATGGAAATAGTAGAATTATCAATAATGCAGAAAAGGCATTATTGTGTGTAATAAATATTTCTGTTCTGTGTTTGAGAAAAAACAGATGATGTAGTCATATTTTATGATAAAACTCTTTCATTTCTACTAGTATCTCAGGAAGATGTTAAATAGCAGCTACTAAAAGTTAGACATTTTAAAATCAGCCACTCTAGATCACTTGCTTCCAAGAGTTTTAAAAGACCTTGCTAAGGAGCTTGCTGGACCATTAATGTTGATTTTCAATAAGTCTTGGAAAATTGGGGACATTCCAGAAGACAGGAAGAAAGCTAATGTTATGCCAATATTTTTAAGAAGGGTAAACAGGATGACCTGGGAAATTATAGGCCTGGGCAAACTAATAGTAGATGCTGGGCAAGATAATGGAGTAGCAGATACAGAACTTGATTGATAAATATAATTAATGCCAATTAACATGGGTTTATGGAAAAATAGATCCTGTCAAACTAACTTGGTGTTGGTTTTTTTTCATGATATTACAAGTTTGATTGATAAAGGTAATGGAGTTGATATAATAGGCTTCTCTAAGGCATTTGACTTGGTATTGTGTGAAATTTTTATTAAAAACCTAGACGGATATAAAATTAACATGTCACACTTTAAATGGCTAACTGACAGTGTCAACTTATGTAACTGTAAACATGGAATCATCATCAAATGGGTGTGTTTATAGTGGGGTCCCACAGAGACTGGTTCTTGGCCATACACTAGTGAACATTTTTATTCTGGAGCTGGAAGAAAACATAAAATCATCACTGATCAAATTTGCAGATGACAAAAAAATGGGGGAATGGTAGAAAATGAAGAGGACAGGTCACTTATACAGAGTGATCTGGATCACTTGGTAAACTGGATGCAAGGAAACTAGGTCTTTTAATAGGGCTAAATGTAAATCTATACATCTAGGAACAAAGAATATAGACCATACTTACATGATGGGGGACTCTATCCTGGGAAGCAGTGACTCTGAAAAGATATGGAGATTGTGGTGAGCTCCCAGTGCAATGCTGTGGACAAAATGGTGCAATCCTGGGATGCATAAATGGGGAATCTCAAGTAGGAGTAGAGAGGTTATTTAACCTCTGTATTTGGCACTGATGCAACTGCTTCTGGAATACGCTGTCCATTTCTGGTGCCCACAATTCAAGAAGGATATTGATAAATTGGAGAGGGTTCAGAGAAGAGCCACAAGAATGATTAAAGGATTAGAAAACATGCCTCACTTTAATAGGCTCAAAGAGCTCAATCTATTTAGTTTAACAAAGACAAGGTTATGGGTTGACTTGATTACAGTCCATAAGTGCCCACATGAGGAACAATTATTTAATAATGGACTCTTCAATCTAGCAGAGGAAGATACAACATGATCCAGTGGCTGGAAGTTGAAGTTAGTCAAATTTAGACTGGAAATAAGCTATACATTTTTAACAGTGAGAATAATTAACCACTGGAACAGTTTACCAAGGGCCTTGGTGGATTCTCCATTACTGACAATTTTTAAATTGTTTGGATGTTTTTCTAAAAAAAACATGCTCTAGGAATTTTTTTGGCGGGGGAGAGTTCTATGACCAGTGTTATACAGGATGTCAAACTAGATGATCACAATTGTTCTTTCTGACCTCGTAATCCATGAATTTACTCCCTTCACATTAGGGAGTATACAAGGCTTATGTGATTCCTGGTCCTTACCTGTTCCAAGCTATCTGCTTCCTCCCTCCTTTTCCAACTAAATTGGCAAGACATAACCTCTTTGCCATCCAGCTTCGCAAATTCCTGTATGTAGGCTTGCGACTCATGATCTTCCTAATTTAGGTTTATTCCTGCAAATCACTTCCCTAGGCTAGCAACCTCAGTTTTACTGAATGAATCATGGGCCTAGCAGATCTCTACTCTCTCCTGTAGCCCAGAGCATTGTTTTATTTTAGTTTTAGTTTCATTTGGGATTTCTAAGCAAATTGTATCCAATATCCTATTGCGCAAATCAGATGGGGATGCCCAGGGCTCAGAAGCAGACAGACTGGACATTTGTCTGTCTGTGATTCTTTCAAGCTAGGGAGTTATGGGCTCAAATTTAAAAAAAAAAAAAAAGGTTCAGGGATAGGACTGAGGTTACTGAGAACCAAGTTTTGCCTCCAATTGCAAATGTCTCTTAGATACTGGCATCACTTATCTAACATTGACTCATCACATCTCACTTTACATCTCCTCCATTTTACCCATAATGCCAGCCTCAATACCCGGTCTTGTCTCTGCTTCTCTGACAACCATCACTGTGCCCTTTTCCCATGTCACTCGCAACACATGGAAAATCCTTGGCTCAGTCCACAAGACCATTTACCTCTCCTCATTCATATCCCCCCAAAGATCCACTTCTACCAGGATGCCTACAAGTAGTAAATCATTAAACACATTTATTTATGTACATAATTGAAAAAAATAACCTGTTTCACTGTGCTCTGCACATACCATCACTAATCACCCCACAGTCCTAGTGCTTAGCTCGTGCTTTCTTCACTATCCCCATCCTATTGTCTTCATTCCATCACTGTTTGAAATTAGACTGTAAGCTCTTTGGGGCAAGAACTGTTTTCTTATCTGCACAGGGAGATGCCAAGTACACTGTTGGGCACTGTAAAATAATAAATATATATATCTAAGATAGCTAGACAGATGTCACCAAAGGTCTCTGGCATACCTAACCATCATGGCAGAAAGCTCTTCCTTAAAGTACCATCCATGGAAGGAGATACTTTCTCTATTAAAATCACACCGTCAGCCAATCAGCGTGCAGAGTGCTGCCACATAATATTTGGAAGTTCCACTTTACTGGGTGCTAGTACTGGTATTATTGATGCCTGGCAAGCTTACTGTAGGAAAGTAGTGCCCAAATATACACCTTCAGCAGTTTCCTCTGGACAACACTGAACTTTGGGAAGCACCTGAAATGTTTTTCAGTTTCTCTCTAGCTAAAAGTTAGTTAGTATTCAATTTAACATTTTGAAAGACAAAGTTGCTTTTTCCTGCTTAATTCATTTTCTTGGGTATTGTGCCCACAGAACACTCACAGAGGTAATACCATAAGGGTACACATACTCCTCTACGACAGTTACAAGGCGGACAGAGTTGGTTAAAAATAATGCCATCAACTACAGAGGTACCAAACTCTGATTCAGATCCAGAGTACAACTTGTAATTAGAAAATACTGCATAGGGTAGAACCACTAAGTAGCCATATTACTTACTCATTCAAAGTTTTTCCAGGTGAGGACTTTTGTTTGGGAACAAGAAGTCTGATGAACCTGTGATTGCTGTGTGCAGAGGTGACAGGTATTTTTCCTGTTAAACCTGCATCTCCACCAGCAGCCACTACCTTAAATATTATTGCAATTCCATATTGCAACTCCTCGTTGGCCTATACTGTGAGATCATTTATGGAAGCTCATTCTTTGTTTCAAAGAAGATGAGCTCTCAACAATGATGTACAAAAACAATTCTGGGGTTCTTGTGCTCTTTGAACCAACAGATACAGCACAGATTTGTGGGTCAGCTAGGCAAGTCAGGCTTCCTAGTCCAGTCCTAGCCAGCCTCTACTTTGTGAGCAGTACATGAGCTGTATATGTCTAGTACCCATCACAAAATTGCCTCAGGTCAGTTTTTCAGTTTGAAGGCTTTGAAGTGGTTTTTATAGCCACCTTGACTGACTATTAAAATATATTTTTTCTTTTTAATTTTCTGATTTAATGTGGATGTTGTACGTTCATATAAAATGCTGGATGACAGAGGTATAGCATGGGTGGTAGCAGCTGTGCAAACCTCCTAATACTGCCCTGATCCGACTGGATAAGATGAAAGGGGAATGACGTCTCCATCTTATTCAATCTTCAGCTTCTGCTGAGACTGCCAACAAGAATGCAAACTGGCATCAATTGTGATGGGAACACCTGTCCTTTGTGAAAAGGACTGAGACCACTAAATTCATTTCACTGAGCTAGTTTGAACCTTTTTGCTACTGGTTTTCCATGGCCCCAGAATTTCACTTAGGTCAGTGGAATGTAAGCACATACTGGGTTAAGAAATGCATGCCCATTTTCTTTTAAACTGAGATATCTTTATCATGATGAACAGTTCTGAACACTAAACATTTATTTCAATATTTAAGGAGCATTTTGTCTATAAACTGACCTTATTCAGATACAGAAATGTGCATTACGTTATGCTATTAAACACCCTTAATCATTGTATCAGAATGGGATTGCTGAAAGCATTGTCTCAAAACAACCTGGCCTTTCTGAAATCAGATCACGACTAAGAAGAAGTGAAATCTTGTCACAATGTTAGGACTTCTTCAGCAAGATTACTTCTCTGACATGTCAATCACTCTGACAGATTAAAGAGCTGCTGATGCTCCTGGAAACATTTGAAAATAATTCTATTTAGAAATAGCTGTGTTGACATGACTTTATTTCACCTCCCACCCCACTTTTGTTATTTTATGACTTGAGATATTTGCATGAAAACAAGACCTTGCTTTCTTAAGAGTTTTAGATGGACCTGTTGCTTATTCCTCTTTCTCTAGTTAAGGTCCTATCCTTTGTTACATTATAATTTTTGCAACAATTACATTTGATGTCACAAATAGATCTAATAACCTTAAAGTGAAGAATGAACAGCAGGAGCTGACAAACTCTTATAAACTAAAGATTTTATTTTCATGACCATGTAAATAGAATCTCTCCTCCCAAAAAACCTATGTTTTTAGAAACAGAAAAAATATAGGGACAGTTCATCAGTTGGTGTAAACTGGCATAGCTCCATTGAAATTCATTATATGTAGAACTAACTCTAAATGGTGCTTTTAGGGAGTTGTTTTATAAGATATGGAGAAATACAACATTTGATGTGATTTTTAGAAAAAAATTAATTACGTGTTTAGTGGGAGTTCTCAAAGGACCCAAGTCTGCCATTTTGGAGAGATGCATGCTGACGCTGAACAATTCAGTAGGCTCTCTTGCATGCAATAAAGGAGACAAAATTTATTTTTCTTTCTGCCCTTTGAGCTGTGCCGATTTTTGCGGGGTGAGGGTGGTGAAGGGGATATGGCTGTGGGAAGACTTGTAGAATTTCTACACATAAAATCACTATGGAACTCTATTGAGATCCATGGGAGGCTTTTCTAAATATTCAAGGCAAGATTTGACTCTCAGTTTAACTTCATGCCGCAAAATCTCCCAGCTGCAGATGACAATTTATGACTAACTTAAGCTTTTGGGTGAAGGAACCATTGTTTTGGCAGCCATGTCCCATTCTGAAGACCTGTTATCACAAATGAGATTGTCTGAAGTACTTTTTGAATGAATTTTAACTAGCTAGTTGTAAGTCTCCTACACTCTTAGACCCTTTTTCCCTGCTGCACCAGAGTTTTGCTCAGCATAGCAGTAGCCAGTAATGGTGGCGGGGAGTTGGGTATAGCTGCCTGATTCTGTGCTGTGACCAGCTGGTGGAAAGGTCCCTAAAGTCTAACATGCTCCAGCCACTCCTCCTTCCCAATCCTCCCTGGCTTCAACATGTTCCTCCCCCTTCCACCACAGAGGGTGTGGGGGTGGGAGAGGAGCCAGCTATGTTAACTCTAGATCTGTTAGAATTCCCCAGTACCAAAGGAATCTTCAGTAGGGAGGATGAAGCCAGCTTCTGGCCCCTTTGCGCTGGCTCTGGTTATGCAAAGGGGATAGAAAGAGGAAACGAATCTGGCTTTCAACTTTCACTTGTATGTGGTGGGGATATGTGGTAGAAGTTTTGTCCCTTAGGACCATGTGCCTGAAATCTGGTCATTGATTTAAGCACTTTTTTTTTTTTTTTTTTGCCATTTAAGGTGTCTTGTTCAAGTCACGCCACACACCATGGGCTCCCTGATAATTTCTCTATGTGAAATTGCACTGACCCTCTTCTTATAGAAACTGAAAACATTATCTGGAGCACCATTATGTTTTGTTAAAAGATCTTAATTTCAATTATGTGGAAGTTTGTTCATTAATAAGATGGATTTTAGAAAAACCGCCAGATTTCACAAATATTGTCTAATTGCAAATAATGGGAAGTTTTCCTGTGGCAGAGGTTAGTTTAGAGCCAGAACAATACTGCGCATCTGGAAGAGGCATAGAATGTCTTTGCCAAAACAGCAGTCTAGTGCCCTTTAAATATTTTAAACAGATGATTAGGATACATTCATACACTAAATGCTATAAGCCGTGCAATGGATTGTTTAGCCAGGTATGCTGGAGGATTTAGAGCAGTTCTCCTTTGCCCCTTCCACCTCAGACACTATTGATACCATGGCTTTGAGGGTTTTGGGAAAGTCCAAATAGATATCCTGGGAATTTCATTTTCACCTTCACACTCTAGACATAATTTTTTCTTCTATTTTCAAATCTTCTTTCCTCATGCTCAAGATGCAAATGAATTGTGCTATGAGTCCTGCAGCTGAGAGGGTGGACAGTGTGTAATGACCCGTTGGGGTCTAACTACTGGTAGCTATATTTAAAAAAAAAAAAAAAAGTCAAACCCTTTCTGATGAAAACTCAGATTATCATCAACCTCTCCTGGGCTCAGGTGTAAGAGACGCTAAGGTTAAAATCTGGAGTCTTGTCTTCCATGCTGCAGCGTAGTGAGTCTTCAAATTAAATCTGAACAGTAACATATTTACAGACGTAATGGTAATAGTTTAACTCTACAGACAGATTGCTCCTTGAACATTTGAAATAGATCTTTACTCCCTTGCTGCAATTCTCCAATACTGTTGTATTTCATACAATTGATTTTTCAGGACATGCATCCTGAAGGCTCCAGATCTGACATGCTCCTCCTAAAATGTCCCTGTGACCTAAGGTTTGGAACCCATAGCCACAAACAGCACACAAGTGTGGATAACAGTCATCATCCAGGTACAACTATTGCTCTTCACAGATACAGCTGAAAGAGTAATAAACAAAACAAAATCACCTTCTACTGTCAGGCTGGACAGTTGAAATATGAACATTTTGGTTAGCTGGCCACATTTCTAGCAACAGAAGACAAAGTTTTCAGATTAATTACATACATATTTTTGAAAGTGACAAGTGCTATTACAGCCATCTTTTGTAAGCTTTAATGTCTGCATTCACGGTGCTTTCATCTGTTGGTTCAGGTTTCAAGTAAAACCAGGCCATTTAAATGTGCTCTTAATTTTAGAACTTCCAGAAACTCTCTACTATGGCCCACATTGGTACTCATTGATTTCCACTGAAGAAGAAGAACAGGCCTCTCTAAACACATTTTTAACCCACTAACTCTCCCCCGACCATGCCAAAAATATATAAGAGCTGATGGACGCTATATCCCAAAACGATAATCAGTGCAAGAAAATTTTGTGGTGGGTTGGATAGTTTTGTTTATGCTACTAAAAGGTGAAAATACTGAACTTTTTTTGATTTTTATACTTGTTTTCATTTCCTAACTCTCCCATCCAGAAATTTACAATGCCTTAGCTGAAAACTGTGGCACAATCACGGTTTTTACAATGATTTCATCACGTTCTTGCAAAAGAGTTAGCTAGTTTTACAGGACTCCCCACCTCCTTGCAAAAAACAAAAACACCCCCTCTCCCTAAAACTCCTGTAATTCCTGCAGGATCCTGTAAGCTGCAGTGCAGGGAGCCGACACTTTGTAACTGATGCCAGTGTACCAATGCTTATTTGGCTATAAGTCTCTATGACTTACAATAAACAATTAGCCTGTCACACCTGATGCCTCTTATGTCTCTGAATATTGTTCTTTGATTTAAAGCAATTTTAGTTTTAATAAAAATGCTGGAAAAGTAAATCTAGATTTCCAGGGGAAATCCTTTCTGCAAACCTTGCATTGTGCTGCTATTATTGGTGCATATACCTGCTATTGAATGACTTCAAGATTTGGTAGCCTTGTTAATCTTTTGGCCTTTAATTTAGATGAAGGCTAGATTTGAATCACAGTTGATGAGTGTTAGGTAGATTATATCATCTATGGAAGTCTGATTTAATTACTTTGATGGACTTTTTTTTTCAAATGCTGAGGAGAAATGGGACTTTTGAAACCTTGGAAGTCTATTTCATGCTTCGTTACAACACAATTCTAAACCCTTATATTTCTACCATTCCTATTTTGGTAATGAAAGGAATGTAATGGGGAAGTGTTTAAAATCATCATCTGAGGGTTAATCCCGCTTAACCTAACCTTTATTAAGAGAATGGCACCAGATCATATAGTTTGTCTGGAGTGCTGGGAAATTGTTAACATTCCACCAGTGTGGGTTAGTTCTTAACCTGTGATTTCTGCAGGTTCCCATAGCAGTCATGCACACCATGTACCCACCCCAACTAATAGCATCCATTCATAACTACTCACTACAGCAGGATTTGACCTGAGAAACTCTAGAATTTTGTTTCAGTTTATTAACTCAGAATGTTTTGAAAAGTTTTTTTAAATAAAGTTTTCCCTCGGCCAGCAAGGGAATTGTCAGATTGAAGTTCTCAGCAGCATCTGGTGAGGCTCTCAGCCAAGTTCTTCAGATACTGTACATCCACAATGACAGCCCATTGGCCTTTGCCGTGGCATTTGCTTAATCCTCAGAAAAGACTTCCTGGATCTAGGAAATTTAAATTCCTGACTCCTTCGACCCAGATGCTGGCCAAAATGCAGTTTGCAATCTGTATTTTTCCCTAGGAACTGGCCTTGCTGTTAAATTTTTCTAAAACAGTCATATTGATATGTTCAAAAATCCACTGCTGAGTTTCAGATAAAGGATCACATCTGTTCATGAAAATCTTCTTCTCAGCTGGGTTGCAATCTATGCAGCTGTTGCTTACTGGATGGAACAAAGTTTTGTCCTACGGGAATGAGAAAAAATAGAATTAAGTAGTAAATACCAAGTGATTAAAAGTGTTCTCATTTTCTAGAACTTGGATTAACACAACCCTAGCTCAGATTATTTAGTTTTCTGTAGATATTCTTTGAGCAATAATCTGGAGTGAAAAACAAAGCTATTATTGGGGAGATATAGATAGCTGAGTGATTTCTTAGGACAAAAAGTGTTTGTCTTTTACCTCAGAGAATAAAAGCACAGAGACAAATGGCAACAACCAGTGATCTAGTTTCCTATCTTCCCATCTTCATGAGACTCTAAGAAAAGTCTGATGTGCTTTCTGTATACATCTGACACAGATTCCATGTGGCATTGGTTGGACAAGTCACTTAAATGCTCTACCTCACTGTCCCCACCTGTAAAAAGGAGATGATAATATTTGTTTCCCTGCCTTATGGAAGTTTTGAGAGCATTAATATTTGTTAAGTTGCTTAGAAAACAAAAATGGATATTTATTATTAACTGGGAGTTTTGGTTAGCTGGAGTTTGGTAAAATGAGGACTGCACTGTAAACAATGCAAACTCGGTCTCTTACAATTTGGTTTACATCAGTGTAAATTCCAGTTGCACTGCTTGTTGAGAACACTGAAGACTAACACACTGAATTTGAATCTTAGGTAAGGAAGAAAATATCCACTGGGTGCTAATATCTGAGGGTTGCAAAGCTCTAATGTATTTGGATTTTGTGTGGCGTGGGGCCGATTAGATAGCTGGAAAGTTTCTGATGGCTGTACAATACACTTACTCTAGCTGTTGAAATAACATTTCAGATAATCCCTGGTAAGCATATCCAGGTTTCTCCCTCTGTGCCAGGCATGACCCTGCCAACATTTAATATTAATCCAGGATGTGAACACTTGCACAGCCACAGAGTAGAAGGCAAGAAAGAGAATAAGAGACAAACAAGAAAAGGTTCCTGTAATTTGGTCTGACCTATTTCTGTTTTCAGTACCGGCAACAGACAGACCAAATTCAAAAGTCCAAGACTCAGTTCTGTCCTTCTGACCTTCCTGAGGCTTCTCACCTCACATATCATCGCTCCCCCAAACTGGCAGCTGAATACATCCTGTTTCAATATATTTAAAGTAAAAATAATTTACAGAGACTCTGTCAGTGCTGACAGGGCTAAACTGGACCTATAGGCTTTATTTGGATCACTTGTATGCAGGCTCCCACCTTGCTTTCCCTATCTCTGCCTGTCCATTCCATTTGTGTGAGCTGGCAGAATATTTCAATTCGCAAGAATCCTGGTCTTTCAGGGCTAGGCTGTGCTATTAAAGCTGTGCCCTAAGGAAGAAAGGATGCAGAGCCATGCTGCCCAATGAGAACATGAGACACCCTGGTGCAGGTGTGCCCTTCTCTTTGTGGTTGACCAGCTCTAGCGGTCAGGGCTAAACGGGTGTGGAGATTGCCCCTCCTTGCCCCCTCTGTGGCAAGCAGCCAAGCAGTCCCTGCACTCAGGAGAGAGCTGTGACTGTAACTGGCCCCTAGGGAGAGAAGACTCCTTACATCCTTCCTAACCTTTTGCACAAGGGCCAAACACAAGCACAAGCACAGTCTGGTCCTCTGTGCTTTGAGATATCAGGATCCCTGGAAACTGAAATACCCCTGTTGTGCACAAGCAGAAAGCACCCTGTTCCAGCAGGAGAAATGTGCTATTCAAGAGCACTGCTGCCTTCCCAAAGAAAGCCTGTGCACTTCTGGGTTAGTATCTGCAGTGCAAATTTTTGGATTCATTATGGTTGCGGCTTGCCTTTTACAAGTTTTCGTAATTAGGAAGCAGACAGTGTCCCTTTAAGAACAGTTTTTTATTACTCTGAAAAACTTCTTGGTTTCTTAAACAAATGTTTATCCATTGCCATCTCTAGTTTTCTCTTGCCTAAGGTTTAATTATTATTGGGTCATGGACTTCAACGGACATGGAATCAGGACCATTTGTTTGTAGTTTGTGCTGTAAAGCATAATTTTCCACTTGCAGCCAGAGGGGCATAGGCATAAATCCTCCTTCACAGCCAGCATAAAAAGCCACAAGAAATCCTCCTGTAGATTTCAGTCCTGTCGGGGAAGAGTAATGAGATTTTTTTCTCTGCATGTAGGCAAGTCTGAATCCTATTTTAGAAAGAAAACCTTTTCCATAAGATAATGGACTTACTAGCAGGCCTGGACTGCTCAAGTAGTTGGTTCGATGTCTCATGGCCTTTCACTTCTTCTTTAACTACAGCCAAGGTCAGTAGTGACTGAAAGTCATTATCCGTGGATGTCTGCGGTAGTTTATTTAACAGGAGGTGGTAGAGCACAGTTTCTCCCAGACAGGTGTCCACATGATAAAAACCACCGTAAGAATGATATGCCCATTAACAGTCTCAGGGAAGAAGCTAAGGGCCTAATGGGCATGGTGAGAGAATTCCTCTGACAGTTTTGCTCTGACTGCCCGACAGAGATGTAGGGACAAATTCTCTTTGTACATGCTTTCTGGATAGAGAACTTTAGTTTCTGATGTTGTAAATCTAGCACATTTCCTAATTACTACACTTAGAGTAAAATTATAGTATCATTAAATTGATTTTTCACAGCTGGCTTTGTTTTTTTAAAATCTACTAAATCTGTCCCTACTTAGATACTCATAGAAGCTCTACAAATAAAGGTGTCAGAGTGCATAAATTGAATCATGCTGTATCAGACTCAAACCACCTGGAGTAACGCTAAAATAAAAACTGAGGGCAGGTCCCTTTACTGGGAGAAATGGAAAATGACAGGGATTGGCTAATATGGCAAACATGGCAAAATTTGCTTTATTTGAGCATTTTATAAGATTCATGACAAAAACTAAAGTACTTCATGTGACATGAGAAGAATTAAAAAAAAAAAGAATTCCATGTGATCACTAAGAAGGTGTGGGGGAGGGTTGGGGTGGGGTGGAGCAGAGTAACAGATGTGGTCTTTGTTTATGAAAACGGGCTGTTTGTTGCCTCCCTGTAGGCTGTTATTTTTATGGATACTTTTGCACGATTAGTTTAAAATTAATAGACACTTGTAAAAAAAAGTACAGCCAGATCTATGTTAGGAACATTTGCCAGCATAGTAACGTTGGTTAGAGGTGTGCTTTTTTGAGACATTTCCATGCCAGCAAAAACCCTAGTTCAGATACAGTTATATCAGCATAGAAGTGCTTTTGCTGGTATAACTTATTCCTTCAGGGAACTACTGTAAGCACTTTTTGCTGGTATAACTTGCATCTACATTAGGAGGGGTTTTGCTGGTATACTTACATTGGCAAAAGTGTCTAGTGTAGATCTGGCCTACATCTGATGTGAGGCAATCAAAAACTATTTAATATACAGTCAAGCTCAGCTGAGAAATCAGCTTAGACCTGAACAAGGGTAATATATTTAACCATTAATTTTGCAGTGTCAGTGGATCCTTGTTTTGAAGTTATGTAGTCAAACCAGAGGCACTTGTGTAGTATGGCAATTAAGAAGGTAGATTGCTACCCAGCTTGTATTATGGTTAAAATTGTGCAAGCACTTTCATTATAAAAAACATTTTCAAGGAATTTCTAATTCAGATGTAAACATTTGACTTGTCCCGAGAATTTTTATGAGATCTCTTCCCTCTAGATAACAAAAACAAAGCAGTACAGGGGACTTAAAGGGACATACGCTGCAGTGTTTTTGAAAGTGATACTATTTCATTGGCTGTCTACTGGATTCTGTCCACATCAAAAGTGATGAACCGGGTACAGAAGACAGCTCCGGAGCTGCATTTTGTCACATGTAACTGGTACACTAAGCACTAATGAAGTGTTAAAGTTGTTAAAGCTTCTTGCTAGCAGCTTGGATAGGCACAAAGATAAACTGGAAGTGGATCTGAAGCAGGGAAGAACTATCATAGGGTACAAAGTAAGATATTCAGCTGGTATACGTTGGCATAGCTCCACTGACTTCAATGGTGCTCTGCTGATTTACACCAGCTGAGGAGCTGGCTTAGCTAGTGTAGCTGGATTACAGATGCTACCTGAGTTTCAAATATATCACATTTCTGGAAAACCCTTTGGAACGTCTCTGCTTGCAATGTAAATACTGGATTAAATGGCGAAGGTCAATAACTAGACACCTGAGGAAAATGTCAGTAGCTAAACTATTTCTAACGGTTATAGTTCAGTTTACTAGAATACATCATCTCAAACTAGAAAGTACTACTGAGACATGTGCAGTAAAATCCAAATCCTTGCCATTACGCTCAGCTCGAGTAAATGCAGGCACACAGGTGATGGTGATTATGTGGAGGTGATCAATGGGTGGGAAGGGATCCCTCAGCATTTCAAAGAAAACTGCATAGATTGCAAAAGTGAAAGGGTTAATCAAAGTCAGTAATGTGTTAATAATGTTATTTGAAATCCTGTTAGTATTACTGTGGCACTGTTTGCCCTGAACACAGTTTCCAGCATGACCACATATTTTTAGTGATTTATAAAAATGGGTTGAAACAGCAGATCAAAGAGACACCTAAACTGCTTACGCTTGATTTGTAAACTCCCTCTTTTTTGTGGGCTTACAACAATGCTTTTAATGTTAATTTTTTTTGTAATTTATCTGCCAAATATACTCTTTAAAGTATAGTAAAATATTAATATTTAACTCATGAGCAGCATTTCTTGCTGCTGTCACATACAATAAAAATATTCCTTGTGATGCCTTTGTTAAAATGACACATGTCTTAAAGTGTCAAAATGGTAAAGCATCTTTCAAGGACTAAGGGCCAACTCTATGTTGGATCAAATCCATATTAATTTAACTTTGACCTAAGTACCTGCAAATGCACACAATGTGCATAAATGCCTTCTACATATTAAAAGAAACATGCTCTACAGAGATTTTCATTTAAGCTAAATTGGAATAAACCATAATGGTTTTTAAAACCAATGTCTTTTGACTGGACAAACACATTGTTCTCCAAATACAGACTCAAGATAGTATGAATATCTGAAAATGACCCAAGGTGACTCCAACCTTCCTATAGCTCCAGTGCTGGTTACCCTTCATGCCATGACAGTCATACAGTGTGACAGGGCTACTGTGCGAAACGGAATCGAAGCAGAATTTCCTGGTGTGAAGAGGTTCCCCAGGGCGGATGTCTTCTCTCCAACCAAAGGTAAAGAGCTACAAAAACAACCAGGTAAAATGATAATATATGGCTGCTGAAAGACATTTAAAAACAAAAACCAAACCAGTGTATATGCCCTTTCTTTGCATGTCATGGAAAAGGATTAATTAGACACCAGTTGATGATATAGCATTTTCCTTGTTTGGCCCTATGCTGTGCTTATTATTTCCTCTTTCCCCCAGAGTATTGTTTTACATTTATCTACAGCAAAGGACAGTGGACAGCTTTAACATGTTTTTTAAATCAATCCTTGCTTTGTAAAAGGTTAAGTCATTTTCTGCTTTTTGTTGTGCTTCTTGAACAAAGACTCCCACACCTCCTGCTGAGGTACCTTTTTATGTCATCAGCAGTGGGAGAAGCAGGAAGTGGCACTGCAGAAGCAAGGCTGCTGCTTCAAAAAAGTATAAGTCTTAAAGAAAAAAAATTATCATTGTTAGTCTGCAAGCCAAGTTACAGGCCTGCGGCTCAAAATAACCAACGATAGACACCAATGCTGAGAATCCCAGCTTTCCAATGGTGTGGAACAGAGGTTCTGAAACTCTCTCACTCTGTTGACTACTTTGTAAGAGATAGAGCCTCTCGTGGGCCATTTTCTAATCTCTCTCTGCTTAATTCTCAAAATATTTCATTCTGCATATCAGCAGGAAGGGCGCCACAGACACTGGTGATCTATGGACCTTGAGAATGTATTGATACTCAAATTACCATACAGAATGCATTGATACTCAAATTACCAGCTTGTGTCATCTCCCACCATTTCAATTATTGCACGATTTCTCAAGATGATTGCTTGGGGACTGCTAGAGATAAATTTTGTGCACCATGTCCTGTCTGAAACCTGAGAATTCTGATTTTCCAACATATAGCTTTCATTTCCAGCCCTGGAGGTCTGAGCAATATTGGACCTTAAACATCCAGGCTTTTTTTTTCTTTGTCTTCTCAAATTGTTGCCTTTTGAAACAATATCTACTCTTCTTTTTGCAAGTGCTGCCTCTCCCTGGTGTTGCCATAATAAAAGCAATCTCAGTAGAGACTGGAACTCCTTCTTAGAACTTCGCAGGAAAGGAGAAAATTAGATTGGAGGGGGGACCAACCACCCCAAAACAACTATTAAAATCCTGTATTCACAGAGACAATTCAGTGGCATCCATCACTCTTTCAATCTCATCACTTTACACTGGCTCATCGTTTTGTGATTTCAGTCTATCTTCCACTGTCCTGGGAATTCTGCTTAGCTTGATATCAAATCTGGTATTTTATCCCCCAGATAATGTGTGAAGATATTACATGGTAATAGTACAAGTGATGAGCTTCATGACACTCCACTTGTTACTTTCCTCATAATCTGATGCTGTTGCCCGTTTGGCTCATACCATTAGCCAATTTTTGGGGACTGCAGGACTGTTTTCATTAGGAGGAGAAATGGATGATAGAAATCAGTCTTGTTTATTTACAAAGAACAAACACTATTTCCTTGAACACAATAGGAACAAACAGGCAGTTTCTTTGTTCACAATTTCCAAGTGTGCCCCTCCAGTCAATTCTATGCCACAGGGAGCTCTCTCTCTCTGTGCTCCTTCTCAGGACCACAATCAACTCAACACACACATACCACACCCTGCCAAACAATCCCTTAACCCATTGTTTAGCTTCTCATCAGGAGTTGTGCCAAGTGCCATGCTTCCACAATTGCCTCAGGCAGAAGCTTCTATTGTTTCCAGCTGTTCCTTCCATTTAACCTGAAAGAAGGGTGCTTTGCACACCCGTTGGTTTTAACCAGGTCTGTGATCTGCTTTAGATCAAAGGCCTGCTCATGGTAGTCATTAACAATTTCCATCATAACAACATTGTTCTGTTAGTAATTACACTTGTTTATGGTCTGTCAGTCAGTATTGTGTCCACTGTACAGTATTAGCTTTAGCCAGACAGCACATTTCCAATTTTCTACTAGTTTGTGATATGTGACTGTATTAAAGTCTAGACAGTTATATCCACTGAATTCTCTGCATTCACTAAAGCTGTAATAGCGTCAAGACAGCTAGAGTTTGTTTGACACAAATATCCTTTATGAACTCGTGTTGCTTATCATTCATTGCCTTTTTCTTAGGCCTTGATCTGGTGTGGTATAGGAAACCTCTGCTGAATGCTTTCAACTCTCACTGAAGTTGGTGGAAACAGAGCAAATAACGTCGGGGGTCTAGACTGTGGCTTGGATTACATGCCTATGTAAGGGATTAGGAGCTCCCCCATCCCAGTTTAGACTGCTTGGATGTTTGTTCAGGGTGTTTAGGAGGAAGCAGGTGTGGAGTGCCCACCTTCTGCCTGTCCCTTCTTCCCCAGAGCATATGACCAGGGAGGGCACAGAGCCATGACTTTACTATTTGCTAACCAGCACAGCTGAGCCTGGACAGGCAGGCGTTATTGCTGCTGGCACATCCCAGTTTACTTTTGTCTGATCCCTTGCCCAGGGCTCTGCCCGAAGTCAGAATCTAGCCTTTAGAAGTAAGAGCTGGAAAAGAGCTATTAACTCATTCAGACTGGCTCACTGCCAGTACAAGCTTGTTTCCTACAACATATTCTTTTTATTCTTCTTTTTCTTATTTATTTAGTTTTCCTTTCCGTTGAAGTTTCCTGGATCTTCATTTTAAAACTCTGAAACTACAGAGTTGCACATCTCCAGCCCTCTGATCCCTCACTCCTCACCAGGAATTTAAAAACAATCACAAGCCTTTTGTCTTCAGTTTTGCCTTTGGAATCTTGCGATGGAAGGTCATCTTTCAGGCTACTGCAGGCTCCATAAGTTAGATTGGAGGGAGTGCTGCCAAGAGATTCATCTTGATTTCCTGCCCCCAGTTACATGATCTGAGTGAAATCCTACAAAATGTTATATCACTGTCTCACGGCAGGGTCAGCATACATTAACTCCTGTTATACAGGTCATAGAATCATAGAATATCAGGGTTGGAAGGGACCTCAGGAGGTCATCTAGTCCAACCCCCTGCTCAAAGCAGGACCAATCCCCAACTAATTCATCCCAGCCGGGGCTTTGTCAAGCCTGACCTTAAAAACTTCAAAGGAAGGAGATTCCACCACATCCCTAGGTAACGCATTCCAGTGCTTCACCACCCACCTAGTATCCAACCTAAACCTTCCCACTGAAACTTGGGACCATTACTCCTTGTTCTGTCATCTGCTACCACTGAGAACAGTCTAGATCCAGCCTCTTTGGAACCCCCTTTCAGGTAGTTGAAAGCAGCTACCAAATCCCCCCTCATTCGTCTCTTCCGCAAATTAAACAATCCCAATTCCCTCAGCCTCTCCTCATAAGTCATATGTTCCAGTCCCCTAATCATTTTTGTTGCCCTCCGCTGGACTCTTTCCATTTTTTTCACATCCTTCTTGTAGTGTGGGACCCAAAACTGGACACAGTACTCCAGATGAGGCCTCACCAATGTCGAATAGAGGGGAACGATCATGTTCCCTTGATCTGCTGGCAATGCCCCTACTTATACATCCCAAAATGCCATTGGCCTCCTTGGTAACATGTTGTTGACTAAATTGGAAAGAGTCCAGCAAAGGGCAACAAAAATGATTAGGGGTCTGGAACACATGACTTATGAGGAGAGGCTGAGGGAACTGGGATTGTTTAGTCTGCGGAAGAGAAGAATGAGGGGGGATTTGATAGCTGCTTTCAACTGCCTGAGAGGTGGTTCCAGAGAGGATGGTTCTAGACTATTCTCAGTGGTGGAAGAGGACAGGACAAGGAGTAATGGTCTCAAGTTGCAGTGGGGGAGGTTTAGGTTGGATATTAGGAAAAACTTTTTCACTAGGAGGGTGGTGAAACACTGGAATGCGCTGCCTAGGGAGGTGGTGGAATCTCCTTCCTTAGAAGTTTTTAAGGTCAGGCTTGACAAAGCCCTGGCTGGGATGATTTAATTGGGGATGGGTCCTGCTTTTGAGCAGGGGGTTGGACTGGATGGCCTCCTGAGGTCCCTTCCAACCCTGATATTCTGTGATTCTGATTCTGTGACTCATATCCAGCTTCTCGTCCACTGTAAACCCTAGGTCCTTTTCTGCAGAACTGCTGCCGAGCCATTCGGTCCCTAGTCTGTAGCGGTGCATGGGATTCTTCCGTCCTAAGTGCAGGACTCTGCACTTGTCCTTGTTGAACCTCATCAGATTTCTTTTGGCCCAATCCTCCAATTTGTCTAGGTCCCTCTGTATCCTATCCCTATCCTCCAGCATATCTACCTGTCCTCCCAGTTTAGTGTCATCTGCAAACTTGCTGAGGGTGCAATCCACACCATCCTCCAGATCATTAATGAAGATATTGAACAAAACTGGCACCTGGACCAACCCTTGGGGCACTCAACTTGATACCGGCTGCCAACTAGACATGGAGCCATTGATCACTACCTGTTGAGCCAGACAATCTAGCCAGCTTTCTATTCACCTTATAGATCATATCTTGCCACTGATTTTTCTACTGAACTCCCCCAAAATTTCGATGGCAAGTTAGCAAACTGGATCAGTAGCAAATATGCAATTAAAAAAAAGACATAGGTACAGTAATAAAATACTCGATAGCCTAATAAACATCTTTGATTTCTATCGGCAAATACAGAAATCAGGATAAAGAGATAGCAAAAATTAGAACGATATATTTACAACCCTGCTGGAGCACCCTTTTAACCAGGCCCATTTTCATGGATTTCTGAAAAATCTCAAGGGAAATTACACGTTTACCTTTTCATTCCTTGTGAGACATTTCACTTGGAATATTTAAACTAGAAAATGTACTTAAAGCTTATTGCAGGTACCATTCCTGCACTGGCAGTAAGATAGACTAATGTTCTAGCAAATCTATTTCATCTTACATTTCTGTGATTCTTTGATTCTTTTCTTTCTTTAACTGGCAGCTTTGAACAACTGAGTAAAATAATTCCTAACCCTGTGTCATGGGGTGCAGCCCTCATTGCCAGACTGGTGCCTCCTG